TAGATGGGAAACTCTGGATCTTTTTTCATTCCCACCCATATGGGCACCATTTTCTCTGTGCCAGTCCCCTATAGTGGGCAGCAGTGTTCCCTCTAAGCCGAGTTAGTGTGAACTAGCTCACAGTTTTTTAGCCTCCGGCTCACCCATTTTCGTCTTAGCTCGGGAAGGAGGGCTCCAGAGCAAACTAATGTATGCAGTAGCCAAATCGCTCTCTCACAGCTTTAATACCAGTGGCTCACAAAGTAGAATTTTTGCTCACAAGACTCCACAGCTTAGAGGGAGCATTGGTGGGCAGCATCCCCCCCATGCCACCCCTTGGGAGGGGGCTTTTTTTTTTTTGCGCTTTACATCAGTAATTGATAAATCACTATTATTATATCTTGGGGGTAGGGAAATGACCACCCCGGGGAACTGAGGCAGGGAAAATGTAGCAGAAACCACCATGTGGAAGCCCTATTCCTGCTTCTCTTAATTGGCAGCCACAAACACCAGAGGTTTGTTGCCATGGAGACCACTGGCAGGTGAAAATGAGGTCCTTTCACCTAGAGGAGTCACTAGGAACTGCAGGAGGACTTGGAGGCAAGCTCTTATCACATTTGTAGCCAATGTATATAAATGTTAGAGGAAGTATAAGCTTCTTTGATTAATATTGTGGCTGCAGAGGTGATGCCACTAATGGCTCTTGCCTGTCTTGATGTCCTGAACTATCCTGGCCGCAGGAAGTGGCATAGACAGCTTCAAGAGGGGACTGGATAAACATATGGAGCAGAGGTCCATCAATGGCTATTAGCCACAAGGTATAGATGGGACCGTGGCGGCTCAGAAGATGCTGAGCTGCAGACTGGAAGGTCTGTAGTTTGGCAGTTCGAAACCCCAGTGCCATGTGGCAGAGTGAGCTCCTGTCTCTGTCCCAGCTCCTGCCAACCTAGCAGTTTGAAAGCAAGAAAATTGCAAATTGATAAATAGGTACTACTCCAGTGGGAAGGTAACAGCGTTCTGTGCTCCTCTGCGTCTAGTCATGCCGGCCACATGACCACGGAAATGTCTTCGGACAGTGCTGGCTCTTTGGCTTGGAAACTGAGATGAACACCGCCCCCTAGAGTCGGATTCGACTGGCTTTCAAGCAAGAGAAACCATTACCTTTTTTTTATATAGATGCGACACTCTGGGGCAGTGATGCTCTGTATTCTTGGTGCCTGGGGGGCAACAGTGGGAGGGCTTCTGGAGTTCTGGTCCCGCTGCTGGACCTCCTGATGGCACCTGGGGTTTGGCCACTGTGTGACACAGAGTGTGGGACTGGATGGGCCATTGGCCTGATCCAACATGGCTTCTCTTATGTTCTTAAAGCCACTGGTGGACCTTCTGATGGCACCTGGGTTTTGGCCACTGTGTGACAGAGTGTTGCACTGGATGGACCATTGGCCTGATCCAACATGGCTTCTCTTACGTTCTTAACTAATTAAAGCCTATACCTGCCATCAGTACTAGATGCCAGAGGCCAGCTGTCTGAAGTTTTCATGTAGGGGTTTTGGGCTTATGGTTTGCCACCTAGGAGGGCTTTTCTCCAGGGCTCAGCCCGAGAAATCTTTTCCATGTGAGGGCTCATTGGTGGAATGTGCAAAGTCCTAATGACGTTGGAAGAACATCTGTACACAGAGCACTTCTCCCTTCCTGCGGAGGAACCACCACTGTCCCTCACATATCTGGGGGGGTGGGGGGCAGTAAAGCTGGGCAGGGCAGAGGGCATGATTTTTCAGTCTGGTCTATTAAACCACGAAACATGGGAAGTTTTGATATTTATTTTTATCCATTTTTTTCCTCCAAGGAACTTAGGGTGGCCTATATGTTCTCCTTCCCTTCCCCTCTTCATTTTATTATGTCAGCAATCCTGTGAGATAGGTTTGACGAAAGATATGGTGATAGGTGTCCATGGGGAGAGCAGGGTGGATTGAAATCCAGGTTTTTCTGGTCCTGATTCAGGGAGTGAATCAGAGCTTGAACAGAAGATATCAATTCTCCTTAGCACAGGTATTCTTGACTTTGCCTGCCCAGGGTAAGTGTATTGTATCAAACATGACTGTTTGATGAATGGAGTTCACACAGTTCTGTAGATGACTAAAGATAATTACCAAGAGCCTGTGACTGAAGTTCATTGGCTTGGATCCTGCATTGTTTTCTGTTGTTGTTGTTGTTCAGTCGCACAGTCGAGTCCAACTCTTCGTGACCCCATGGACCACATCACGCCAGGCTCTCCTGTCTTCCACTGTCCTCCGGAGTTTGCTCAATTCCATACTTGCCACATCAATAACACTGTCTAACCATCTCATCCTTTGCCGCCCCCTTCTTATTTGACCTTCAGTCTTTCCCAGCATCAGGGTCTTCTCCAGTGAGTGCTCCCTTCTCCTTTGGCGGCCAAAGTAGTTGAGCTTCAGCTTCAGTATCTGGCCTTCCAGGGAACAGTCAGGGTTGATTTCTTTTAGGATTGGCTGATTTGATCTCCTTGCAGTCCAAGGGACTCTCAAGAGTCTTCTCCAGCACCATAATCCAAAAGAATCTATTCTTCGGTGCTTGACCTTCCTTATGGTCCAATGCTTGAAGCCATACATTACTACTGGGAATACCATTTCTTTGACCATGGTAGTTTCCATAGTTTCCTAGGGGTGCAATTTTTGCTGATTCTTCCCTTCTGAGAAAGCTCCCAAAACACCATTAAATGCTGCTACTGGGGGACAGAGGATTCCCAGGAATAGCTTAAGGAGGGAATCATAGGTTTCCTGTGTGTGTGTGTGTGGGGGATCAGTGAGATTTTCCACACAGCTCTGGGCCTATAGAAATGTAGGCAGGATCTGACCCATTGTTCTGTTTTATAGTCAGCAGATGATGACTCCAGAATTAACACCTCTGAGTACGAACCTGTGAGGTTGTCCATAGTCATATCGCAGGGCTCTTTTTGTAGAAAAAGCCCAGCAGGAACTCATTAGCATAATAGGCCACACCCAACAGCAGAAACTCATTAGCATATTAGTCTACACCCCTGACAGCACAGCTCATTACCACATTAGGCCCGCACCCCCATGTTACCAGAAGTGTGGTCATCCAGCCACACCCACCTTTTGCTTCTTATTCTGTTTACCTTGTTTGTGGTCAAAACCCAGGGCCTTTTTTTGTAGCAGGAACTCCTTTGCATGTTAGGCCACCCACCCCTAATGTAGCCAATCCTAATGAGTTTCTGCTGTTGGGTGTGGCCTGTTATGCTAATGAGTTCTTGCTGGGTGTGGTCAACTTGGGAGCCAGCCGGAACTCCGTTCCTGTGCGTTCCTGCCCAAAAATAGCCCTGGCCATATGTGAGATTTGACCCAAATCTCTTTCCCCTTTCCCAGTAGTGTTTAGTGGAGAAAGCACATGACATCACTACAGTCATGTTTCCCTGCCTCTCTCTGATAGGCTGCTGCTTGCAGGGACTTGAGAAACACGCAGTGATGTCATATCACAACTTTATTCCACCGCACATTATCAGGGAGATGAAGAAAGGGCAAGGAGAGGGAGAAGTTAGGGTTACCCACATATCTCCCTGAAAAATGGGGTTCGTATCTAAGCGACAGAGGGGAGGGCTTAACCACTCTTTCTCCTTACTGATCTGTTTTTTTTTATTTTCCTTCCTAGGGTAAAGCAGGTCAGGCTGGACAGGCTGGGCAACGTGGTCCCTCGGTGAGTTTTTGCTTAGCCACGTGGCTTCAGTGGGGTTCTTCTCTGCTTTTGTTTTCAAATGTTATTGGTTGATTTCATAGCAGTTACTCTAGAAGGAAAAACAAGATTGGACAGAGCAACGAGGTTTCCTAGGCTTAAAATTTGCCGCATGACGGAGTGAGCTCCTGTCTCTAGCCCCAGCTCCTGCCAACCTAGCAGTTCGAAAGCAAGAAATTGCAAGTAGATAAATAGGTACCACTTCGGTGGGAAGGTAACAGCGTTCCGTGCGCCTTGGAGTTTAGTCATGCCAGCCACATGACCACGGAAACGTCTTCGGACAGCGCTGGCTCTTCGGCTTGGAAACGGAGATGAGCACCGCAACCCTAGAGTCGGATTCGACTGGCTTTCGAGCAACGGAAACCTTTACCTTTACCTTTACTGGGAAAAAAGAGATTATAATAGCTCGAAAATACTGATGAGAGAACAGGCAGGTAGAGGGGGGGATGAAGGACAAAATACTGCAGCTTGTCATCACCTCCATAGACTTTTGGATGCCATCAATGGACAGTCCTGGTCCCTTTCCTCCCACCACAATGTCGCCTTGCAGAATATTTTCTTGGTTTGGTATTTGAAAAGGGTAGTCGTAGGGTTTCTGTGGCCCCTTATGGCAGGGTGGAAGGAGTACAGATTGCGGGGTCACTTCATGTAGCCTTTGAAAATAGCTGTCTAATGATGTCCACCGAAAAAAATTGTGGGAAGCAGAGGGCAGGCTGAGCAGCCACATCCTGATGGGAAATCACTGTGGACAACCAGGAAATCATAAGGTGCTGATCAGCAGAGGTACAAGGGGTACTGCCCCTGGGTGATGAAAAGCATGGAGAAAAGGATGCAGGGGAGTCTCTTCTTAACATACAGGAATTACTAAAAATGTATTTTGCTGTATTTTTTTTTTTTAATCCTGTTTGGGAAGCTCATCAGCCATCAAAATGGCGCTAGCAGAACTCATTTGTATTCCTTAGAACTCACCCTCAGTGCTGTGATGCAACAAAAAATGCCACAGTTATTTCAGGAATGTGTCTACATTTCATGCTAGAGCCGCCACAATGTGGATGAATCCTAATCCTTTGAAATCATTTGCATGAATATGAATTTTTAGTTTGATTTGAATCCCCCCCCCACACACTTAGCATTTGCAATTATGTATATTCTGAAGGTTTCTGGTGATCAAATGTAAATTTATTTAGATGCATTACCTGTCCCACTCCTTTGCCAAAACCTCCAAGACCCAGTCTGTGTCCTTTCTCCCCTTCCAGGGTCTTCCAGGTGAACGTGGTTTGCCAGGACCCACCGGGAAACCAGGACCAAAGGTATTTCTGTTTTCTGTACAAGGTACATGTGTTCTTGTATGTTTCTTGATGCCTGCTTTATAGCATATGCGTCTGTCTGCTATTGTCTATGTGAGCTCATCACTGTGAGAGCCAGCATGGTGTCATGGCAGACTGTAATCTGGAGAACCGGGTTTCATTGGCCACTCCTCCTCCACATGAAGCCTCCTCCACATGAAACCTTGGGCTAGTCACAGTTGTCTCAGAAGTCTCTCAGCCCCACCTGCCTCACAAGGTGCCTGTTGTGGGGAGAGGAAGGGAAAAGCGATTGTAAACTGCTTTGAGACGCCTTGAGGTAGAGAAAAGCGGGGTATTAAAACAAGGGATGGGCACAAACCAGCTCATAAAAGAAAGTTCTTGATGAATTTTGGCTGGTTCATGGTTTGCGAACTGAAGTTTGTGGCAGGTCAATCTGTTCATGGAGGTTCATGGAGGGTTGTGAATGGATACATTTCCAGACGGACTGTCTCTGCTCAATCAAAATGTTTACCAAACTTCAAAGCAATGGGGGTTGGAATTCTCCAGCTTCAAAACACACTAGTCATGTCAGTTTCAAGAGGAGTTCTCCCTTTCAGACTAGTCATATCAGTTTCAAGAGGAGTTCTCCCCCTTTGCCTGCATTCTTTTTTGTTCACTTCTCATTTTCTTGCACAGAACTTGCAAAATGTGACACCCCCCCTTGCTTGGATTTGTGACTCTGTGCTTTGAGATCAGTCATTTTAAACATGCAATTCCAGTGGCATTGGGTTCTGCTGAGCATTCTGCACATTGTAACTGGTTGTGCTGGGCTTGCAAAAATGCCCCCCTTCAGTTTGTACTGCATGGATTCTCTGGTTTGACATTAGTCCTCTTTTACTTGCAGTGCCACAGTGGCACTGGGTTCTGCTGGCCATTCTGTACACTAAACTGTTTATGCTGGGCTTGCAAGCTGCCCCCCTCCCACTTGGGCCATGATTCTGTACTTCACATCAGTCCTGTTGAGTTGGCACAGTGGCACTGGGTCTTTTAACTTCACATCAGTCCTGTTGAGCTGGCACAGTGGCACTGGGTCTTTGATTGCACTGATACTGCTGGGCACTCTGTAAATTGCACTGGTTTTGCTGGGCTTGCAACAATACCCCACACCATCTTCAGTTTCTACTGCAGAGAGTTTCTGGTTTTACCTTAGTCCTGTTGGATTTTCAGTGCCACAGTGGCACTGGTTCTGCTGGGCTTGCAAAAATGGTCCCTCATCTTCAGTTTCTACTGAATAGATTCTCTGGAACTCTGATTCTGTTCTACTGGGCTTCTATTGCCCTTACTTTTTCTGTTTTTTTCCTCCATTGGAAACAATGGAGGATGGGGGCACCTTCTGGGGGCATAACTCAGACCCCATTAATCCAGTCCTCACCAAACTCAGAGGGCAGGTAGAAGAGAGTCAGCTGGAGATCTCCTGTGAGTTTGGTGTCTCTAGCACACCAGGGGGGCTGTTCTACCACATCACAAACCAAACTGGTTCATTTGGCTCTTAAAAGTTTGTGACAATTCATGGTTCGCAAACCGAGCATGCCACAAACTGTCACAAACCATGTTTTCTCAGTTTGTGCCCATCCCTAATTAAAACCTACTCTTCTTCTACATGAGAGTTTCAGCCACATGGTACAGAATTTATTGGACTGTATGTTTCAAACTCTAGGTGGATGTTGTTGTTTCCAGTGCACCCCTGCATTAAAACAGCAACAAAACCTAGAACATCAGAGAGAAAACGAAGTCACAGCCTTCTTGCTAATATGCTAGTTTGCTATAGGAAAGGATATTTTGATATGAAAGATCTAGAGAAGTTAGCCGTGTTAGTCTGTTGCTGTAAAAACTATTTCAATATGAAAGAACATTCAGACATGCAATGCAAAATGGTTCAGACTTAGGAACTTTCCCCTGCTGGTTCAGCCATCTGATTCTATGGAGATTGTTTCCCATGTTGGTCCCTAAGAGGCCTTCCAGTTCTGCCACATCTCAACTTGATTTCCTCCCAACAGGGTGATGCTGGCCATGACGGGGCCCCTGGAATTGTAGGGGAAAAGGTAAGCTGAATGATCAATTCTCTGCAGGTAGAGGAAGACTAGGTAGGGTAGTGTCAGAAAATTTCATTTTCCTGTTTTGACCAAAAAAATATATATCTGTACAGACAGAGAGGTCATGACATTGTAGAAGCCAATCCAACAAGGAGAGGCCATAACATCATAGAAGTCAGATAAAGATTAACATAATTCTGTGGGCAGCAGGGGAGACTCCAGCCCCAGGAACTGGGAGGAATAAGGGTGGACTTGAATAGAAATTCCGCTAATGAACTGCGACAAGTTGTAAGCTGAGAAGGGGCGGGAGAGAGACAAGGACCAGGGCAACAGAGTTGGAGAATGCAGAACCCCATCTCATAGTGGTTTCCCCCCTCTTTCCAAAGGGACCTCCTGGACCACAGGGTCCCCATGGATTTCCAGGACCCAAAGGGCCACCTGTAAGTATCCCTCCATTCTCTGTCTCCAGATCTAGTGGGAGCCACCATTCCTGCCTGCCTCCGAAGGGCATGGGAGGGTGGGAAAGACATGCTCTCCATGAGACATCAGTTTACAGTATCATTACTGGGGTTGGAAAATGCCTATCAGGCTGGACCTGCGCACGTTTGTTTATGCAGAAGAGAGAGCATGCTGTCCGTGTTTGCTTGCAATCTGGCCAATTCTTGCATTTGGATTATATACAGATTGAGAAAGCATTTGAGCCTGCTTTGAGTATCTCAGTGAAAACAGACTGGGGAACAGTCTGTGCTTCACAGGCACTGTGAGGGCAAAGGAATGAGCCTGCGTTGATAGCCAGAGTTGGTGCCCTGGAATTCAGGTTGAAGAGGAGGAATAATTAACATCTGGGATATACTCTTCAAGAGTCTGACAAGTTGGGCCGTACCCCAGTTCCACAGAAGGGATGTTCTAAGGCAGCGGCACTGACTCAGGAGCCAGTGGCTCTCTGGCACGCCACCTGTGGCTCTTCTGGCACCATTCAACAGCAAGCTGGCCGCAGAGGAAAGTGAGGAAACCCACAGCAGCTACCCAGAAAAAGAACAAAGTTAAGACGCTGAGCTGCAGACCGGAAGGTCGGTAGCTCAGCAGTTTGAGGCCCGAGTGCCACGTGACGGAGTGAGCTCCCGTCTCTGGCCCCAGCTCCTGCCAACCTAGCAGTTCGAAAGCAACAAACTGCAAGTAGATAAATAGGTACCGCGTTGGTGGGGAGGTAACAGCAGCATTCCGTGCGTCTTGGCGTTTAGTCATGCCGGCCACATGACCACGGAAATGTCTTTGGACAGTGCTGGCTCTTCGGCTTGGAAACGGAGATGAGCCCCCCCCCCCCCTAGAGTCGGATTCGACTAGCTCTCGAGCAAGGGAAGCCTTTACCTTTTAGCCACAGGTGATTTTTTTGGCTTTTCTCCACTGCCAAGAGGTCTTCCTCTGAGTACCTGAGGGGAGGGACTATGGCATGCTGGTAGAACATCTGCTTGGTATATAGAAGGGCCCAGGCTGAATCCCCAGCAACTCCAATGGAAAGGATCACCTGTGAAAGACATCTACCTGAGATCCTAGAGAACCTCTGCCAGCCAGTCTGAATAGACAATAGTCACCTTGATGGACCAAGGGTCTGATTCAGTATAAGGCAGCTCCATGTGTTCGTGTGTACCACGGCATCCTTGCTCTCTCGCCCAACCTGCTGTGCTTCATGCTGAGGGCCTCAGGCAGGAAGGCAGGGAGGGAAGCTCTTTCCTTCACTCCAGATAGCCAAGGTTCAGCAATGGTAGGTAAATGTAAAGGTTTCCCTTGCTCAAAAGCCAGTTGAATCCGATTCTAGGGATGCGGTGCTCATCTCTGTTTCCAAGCTGAAGAGCCAGTGCTGTCCAGAGACGTTTCGATGGTCATGTGGCCGGCATGACTAGACAGCAAGGTGCACACAATGCTGTTACCTTCCCACCAAAGTGGCACCTATTTATCTACTTGCACTTTCTTGCTTTCAAACTGCTAGGTTGGCAGGAGCTAGGACCAGAGACAGGAGCATACTCCGTCATGCAGCACTCGGGTCTTGAACTGCTGAACTACCGGCCTTCCAGTCTGCAGTTAAGTGTCTTAACCACTTGAGCCACTGCAGCAGTATTCAGCAATGGTAGGGAGGGTTAATTGTACATACACAGGGGAACTCTGGCAATTAAAAAGGTTGCAATTATATATTTATGTGAATGGTTATATTTTATCATACGTATGTGTTTGGTGGGGTGATGCACAAGGCATACAGGAGTCAGGCACAGGGATGCACCAACACCTGCAGGTTTGACTCACTCCCTGGTCGCTGGTTGCAAGCAGAGGCCTGCTGCTTTTTTGACCATCAGCTTAATAGTTCATTGATCTGTGGGTGTTTTGACAGGTTGTTTCGCTGTGTTCCTTCCTAACTGTGCAGTACAGTGTGTAATTGGCTTTTCACATACCTGTGTTCTCACACAGCCCAATTGATGCCTGCTGCCTCCTCATCCTGGCTGCATAACGGCTCTGCTCAGCCGGCAATTGTTTAAATAGACAATTAGATCACTCACAAATCCTATAACTCAGTCATCAATAAATGTTGTGTTTCAATAAAATCCTACCTTTTGATGTTCATCTGAGTAGACCTTAGTGACAGTAATGGCTGCTGGTCCGTTTGAATCAGCATCTTTATCTCTTTTCAAACTGCCTTTGTATTCCGTTTTAGTAACTGGTGGCTAATGGATTTCTTTTCAATAATTTCAGATGGACCCATTTTAGTAACCAGCTGCTAGCGGAATTTATTTGCCTGTTCCTACAAACCTGCTTGCTTCGGGTTAGCAAAGCGTGGTTGAGCCACTTTTGAGGGAAACTACTTTCTTCCATTTTCTACCTCTTTGTTGTGCTTCTGAATCATGGTGGAGTGCTATTGAAACTATCCATGGCCCTTCCTACAATGCTGCTTCCCCCCACCCTTTTTTGCCATGTGATCTTCATTTTTTTTACATTCTGAAGTGAGTGCTATAGTACTAAACCACGGTAGCACTGAAGTATTATAGCAGCACCTTTGAGATGCAGTTTAGTGCTGTAGTGCTCACCTTAGAACATTGGAAAAAAGTCTGAGGAAGATTGCGTGGTGAAAAAGGGCGGGAGGAGGGAAAGCGGCACTGTTTGACATGACCATAGCACTTCAGAGATGGCTCATTAGTGGAATGAAATTGGCTGTATGGAACATCAGTTCCTGTGTTGCTTTACTCGAAATCGGGCCAGCAATGAATAACGTCCAACAATGAATGGTAATGTGAAAAGGGCCCTTGTGTGTGAGGGTTGCTGTGGTGTGGTAGGTAGAGTGATGGACTGAGACTTGAAATGACTGGGTTTCAATGGCAACACGAGGCCATAGTATATGATCAAGGTCTCCCATAACATTTTCTAGGCTGAAACTTGCCATGGGAAGCTCAGAGTAGTTAAGGGCTAATATCCAGCAGTTCTGACCATGCCATTATCTTGATTTAAATGGCTCCTAAACTTTGGGGAGTGGCTGTGGCTCAGTGGTAGAGCATCTGCTAGGCGTGTAGAAAGTCGCAGGTTCAATCCCCGGCATCCCCAGGTAAAAGGATGAGACAGTAAGTGATGTGAAAGACCTCCGCCTGGGACCCTGGAAAGCTGATGCCAGTCTGAGTGCACAATACTGACCCTGATGGACTAAGGGTCTGATTCAGTATAAGGCAGCTTCATGTGTGTCCAAAATCCCCAGTGCCAGGGCTCCAATCTGATTTTGCCCATCTCTACTGGCTACAGTCACTCTTAAAAAGCAAAATAAAACCGTGGAAGTCTCTAATCTCAAGCTCCCACATCATGGGAGTTATCTAAACACACAGTTCCAAAGACTTAAGGACATTTAAGTCTTTGGAAGAGGGAGTGCTGATTTCTGCTGATTTTCTCTACTCCCAGGTGTCCCCATATGACAAGTACGATTTCAAGGAGGGGTCTCAGTGGGCTGCAGTGGGACTGGGGAAACTGCAAAGTCCTCCACAAATTGTTGGAGGCATGCTGTAAACCCACTCAAATCTCTATCACTCTGGTTAATATCAAATGTAAATACCAATTTTAAGTATCTCTTTTGCAAAGCCCAAAATGCTACTTAGGCAAACCGGGTTTTACAGCCCTCACAGCCATTTGCCTTGAGCTTAATTTGTATTCAATGGTCTCGAAGTGAGGAAATTTGTCCAAATTGAAAATTTCCCCCTAGCTTCCCCCCCCCTTTCCGTCCTGCCGGAGGCATCACATTTCAAGAAAATTAGTTTTACCTAAAACGTTTCATCACATAAAAGAGATAGGAGCGCATAAATCATGGGGCATGTTTCTATCTCAGTAATTTTTTTTAGCTTGAAATGTTCGTTCCGAAGTTGCCTGGAGGGAACCAGGTGGATGATCATATTAGATCTTCAGTAATAAGGTTCTCCCCCCCCCCCGCCGGCCCCGAAATACCTTATCTCCATCTCCATCCTCTAGAGCTTTGATTGGACCTTTCTCCCCTCTTGGGCTGCCTTCATATTGTGTTGCCCTCCCCTCTCCTCCCATGTTCTCCACCAAAGTTCTTGAGAGAACACCGTCCCTGTCTGTTTTCTGGAGTACACATGGCCTGGATTTCCCAGTCTCCAGACATTTCCCAACAGTTCGTTTTTCTCATAATACGGACATAAATAAACACAGACATTTATTGCTTTATCATAACCACTTTATGAGATCTCGCTTAGTGCAGGCTGCCCAGCATGTGACACATTGTGAAATGAACATTTAACGGTTGCGTAACAACCCCTCTCCAAGAGCTTGTTCTTGTTGCATTGGTTTTTTTTAAAAAAAAACTTTTGTAATCATTTGTTTTGCATTGTTTATGGCGTGTCTTACCCTGCTTTTTATCGCGTTGGTTTCTAATTTTGTGACCCAGTCTTAACTGCACTTCTGATAGTACGTCTCATTCTGTTCCTACTGCGTTGTTTTTGAATTTTGTGAGCTGCCTGAGTCTCGGCAAACAAGAGAAATGGACTGTAAGTGAAATGAATAAATAAATATGTTATAGGCAGTGTAGTTTTGATGTTGTAGGACAGAACAAGTCTTCTTCCATAAATCTCCCAAACTTTCCAGGATGAGTCTATTTTGAGTTTGGTTGCAGATCTGAGATGAATGATCCATCCCATGACTTCTTTAACACAGAACTTTCTGCTTGCTAGGGCCCTGCTGGGAAGGATGGCTTGCCAGGACATCCGGGCCAACGTGGGGAGCCGGTGAGTGTCCCTTTATGGCAAAGAACAAGGTTGGCCCTTGGGCGCTCTTTCTTTCTGCCCCTCATTTCTTCTGTAGCACTGTGTATTTACCCCTGACCCAATTAGGGCTGCCAACTTCCTGGTGTGACCTGGAGATCTCCTGGAGTTACCAGTGATTCCTGTGGAGAATATGCAGGGTAGACTCCATGGCATTATACCCCACTGATATCCTATCCCTCCCTAAGCCTTCCCTCCCCTAGCTCCACCCCCCCCAAATCTCCAGGTATTTCCCAATCTAGAGTTGGCAACCCTACTCCCTTTCCTGTCAGGCTTGAACCAACACGGCTGCTTTTCCCATTTTTCCTTAATGGGCTGCTGTTACCACCAATACTTTCACACGCATCCGCCATTTTGCTGGGACAAGAGGAAACAAGAGGCAGTTTCTAGGCAACCAGTTCCTCGGAACAGGAAAATGGCTGCCACTGTGCACTTGGAAGGAGGTGGGCCAGTGGGAATGTTGTATACCTCAAGAGGTTATCAAGTAATCTTTCAGGACTGCCTGGCAAACACATCAGATGTTCCATCCATCCACTAGATTAATGGGTCTTAATTGAAGTCCCAACAGGATTCTTTCTGTGTTGCCCTCTCTTCTTTGGACACTAATATCCGTTTCTTCTTTCTTTAGGGATTCCATGGCAAAACTGGTCCACCAGGGCCTGCTGGGGTCGTGGGACCACAGGTAAAGGAAAGGTCTTTGGTGTACATGGTTTTAGTAAAGAATAATCACCTGACTGTTCCTCTAGCCAGACAGCTGAGACAAACAGACAATGGGCTCGGTAACCGAACTCTGCTTTTTGTTCAATTGTTTCCTAAGTAGAGAGATTGCATTTTAAAAGTCTCCTTTTTGAATCAGTGAGGAAAAAACAGGAAAAGAGACTGCAGAATTGTTCTTGGGTTCCTTAGCTGATCACCCGCCAGACTACAAATGGAAAGGTGATTAGGGACAAGAGATTCAGAAGCTCTCTGAGTCATCTGGAGACATATTTAGTCAGATATGTGGAGCAGATTCTGGCAACTATAAGAACATAAGCCAATGTTGGATCAGGCCAAAGGCCCATCCAGTCCAACACTCTGTCACACAGTGGCCAAAAATACAGGTGCCATCAGGAGGTCCATCAGTGGGGCCAGGGCACTAGAAGCCCTCCCACTGTTGCCCCCCCCCCCAAGCACCAAGAATACAGAGCACTACTTGCCCCAGACTAAGATTGCAGGAATGACATGGCTCAGTGGCAGAACATAAGAACATAAGAGACGCCAATGTTGGATCAGGCCAATGGCCCATCTAGTCCAACACTCTGTCACACAGTGGCCAAAAATACCAGGTGCCATCAGGAGGTCCACCAGTGGGGCCAGGACATTAGAAGCCCTCCCACTGTTGGCCCCCCCAAGCACCAAGAAGACAGAGCATCACTTGCCCCAGAGCCCCTATCTATACCTTTGTGTTGAGAAGGTCCCAGGTTCAGTCCCCAGCATCTCCAGTTTAAAGGACCAATTAGTAGGTAATTGGACCTCCACCTGAGACCCTGGAGAGCAAGTGTCAGTCAGAGCAGACAATACTGGCCAATGGCCTGATTCACGGTAAAGGCCAGCCTAGATATTCTGTTTCTTAATGAGTTGGGTCAGGGTTTCCCAAACACAGTTTTTGTTTGGCTCAGTCAGACTGCAGCTGCTGGGAACTAAGTTCTCAAGAGCACCGCACGAGCCTAATTGGGACTGGGACTCTGGCATGGGGGGCAGGGGGGGGGGCTTCCATCTCCACCCCTGCACTGTATCTAGCAGCTGCTGTGTGCTGGGTCAGGGAAACCTTGATTCAACTTTGTTAAAAAATGTAAAATCTAGTTTGGCCCTAAGTTACCTTCATGTGACCATGCCTGGTCATCAGAAAAGTTCATGGTCTAGCAGGGAGTCATCAAATACCCCTTGAAAGTTCACAGACAGGTCGTGTGGGAAGCAAGTAGCCATTCCCCCAGTTGCCTTTTGGGGCTTTTTTTGAATTTAGAAAAAGAAAAGGGAGTAGGAAAAGTACAATCAAAGTTAATAAAATGATGAAATATGAAGCTTAGTGACTAGGGAGGAAAGGCCGCCTTTATCTCGCTCGCTCTCCGCGCTGAATCTCGAAGAACATTCAATTAAAATTGCACTTGGCTAAGGATATACAAACAGAACTGACTTCTTCAGACAATTTATAATTAACTTAAGGAAACTTACAGGCACAAGATGATATTATGGCTGCTGTGCAGAATGGTTTTAAAATGAGATTAGGCCTCATTTGTGAAGGATGTCGCTGGACAGGCGGCTGAATTAATCTGTAGCAAGAAAATAAAGCAGGGGTCCAGTGGCACCTGAAAGCCTAGCAAAAAATATATTCTAGCATAAGCCGTGGTGAGATAGAGCTCACTTCATTAGTTGCTTGAAGTGCTCATTTATTACGCAGATCTAACTGGCCTCTCTTTGTGACACCTTCCCTCCCACCCCTTTCCTTTTGTCTGCAGCTCTGAGTGTAAATATGTCTATGTAATGGTTGAGCTGTGGTGGCTCAAGTGGTTAAGATGCTGAACTGCAGGCTGCGGAAGGTCAGTAGTTCAGCAGTTCGAGACCCGGGTGCCGCAAGACGGAGTGAGCTCCCGTTTCTAGTTCCAGCTCCTGCCAACCTAGCAGTTCGAAAGCAAGACATGGCAAGTAGATAAATAGGTACCACTTCGGTGGGAAGGTAACAGTGTTCCGTGCGCCTTGGTGTTTAGTCATGCCAGCCACATGACCACGGAAACGTCCTCGGACAGCGCTGGCTCTTCGGCTTTGAAACGGAGATGAGTACCGCAACCCTAGAGTCGGATTCAACTGGCTTTCGAGCAAGGGAACCTTTACGTTTACCTTTTAATGGTTGAGTGCTTCTCATGTCTGTAATGAAGTGGGCTCTGAGCCTCTGACTCGTAAAAGCTTTTGCTGGAACCCATTTTAGTAGTCTTTAAAGTGCCACTGAAATCCTGTTTTAAAGTGTTGCCAGCCTCCAGGTGGGGCCTGGGGATCTCCCACTTCTACAACTCATCTCCAGACTACAGAGATTAATTCCCATGGAGAAAATGGCTGCTTTGGAAGGTGGACTCTATGGCATTGTAACATGCAGTGGTTCTTCCCCTCCCGAAACCCTGCCGTCTCCAGGCTCTACCCCAAAATCTCTACATATTTCTCAACCCAAAGTTAGCAACCCTATTTATGAAGGATTTGTGCTATCAACTGCTGGTTAACCATGATAACTAAAGACAGAATTTCTGTATAAAAGAGGTATGTTTCTTAGTAGGCAGAGGGGAAGAGAGGAAGAATGGGTTATATGAAGCCCTGTTTGTGATCACATTGGGCCCATACTTTCCCATCGATGTGCCTAATGTGTCCTTCCGGTACTCTCACGGCTCAGGTGGGGTGTCACCTGATGCTGCCACCACTCTGGATTTAGGTTCCCTTGAGAGGCCCAGAGCACCCTCCCAAGATCTTCAGACCTCCCTTTTGGCCGAATAACAGGCGTGAGAACCAGGCAGAGTGAAACAAGGAAAAGGTTTATTTTATAGAAGGTCAAACAACAAGGTGCCTAATAATAACAGTAAGTGGGTGAATAGAAAAGAAATCAAATGCCTTAACACGTCTAAATATATACTGTCCCTAGCTCACTATTTCAAGTGGCACTAGATTACTCACCCTTCCCTCAGGATGAGGGTCTCTTCCCCACAGCAGCCTTTT